CTGCTGCCGAAAAATTAAGAAAATGCTACTCTCTTTCATTTTTTTTGTTTATGTTTATGTTTTTGTTTTTGTTTGTTTTGTTTTTGTGTTTTTGTGTTTTTCTAGGTTTTGTCTCTATAATCGGAGATGTCATCTCCTAACAGCAATAAAATTAAGTTTCGTGTTTGCACATCAATGACGTGACTGGCATATCACTTTGAGTTTGAAAACAATTTTAATTGAATTTGAGAATAATTGAATTGTAAACTTTGAACTGGAAATTTATTCCATATTGACCTGAATAAAAAAAAAAAAGACTTAACAAAAAAAACGAAGCAAAGCAATCCAACCACGCTTATATACTCTGACTGGTATTAATAGAACGTAAAAAAACATGATTCTAAATCACAACCATTGAGCCTAAGCGATTCTGCAGTTTGTCCTGATGGGTTAAAATTGAAACTGATGGGCCAACCGAAAAGTTGGCCGACGAACTCATGATCTAGCCAAAGAGTTGGCCAACGAACTCGTGACTCAAACGGTGGAGAAGATAGAATCTCCGAGTCAACTATGCCCCTAATTCATTACCTTGATTTTTTTTTCTCTTGATTTTTTTGTAAAAATGTTTTGATCAACATGAGAGTTAGATTAGCATGCTTATTCCATTTTCTATTTTGAAATCATGTAAGCTAAGCTATGAGCACTGAAAATTTTCTCTTTTTTATGTCCAAAGAATGGTCTGGTTTTGCAAAAATGGAATAATTTTTTAGAAACATCAGTCAACTTCATTCAAAATAATTAAAACCTATTTTTGCAAATGACCACCACCCAACCAACATGGAATCAACCATTGGGATGCATAGCCCCAAACTAGATAATCAATGGTGATAACCGAAACAAGCCGATCCGAATCGAATGCAGCCGAGCGGAACTGGACCAAACCAAACCGCCGAACCGAACCGAACCAAGTTGAATCGAACCAACTGAACTAAGTAGAACGAAGATACACCAATCAAACACGGATAGGACAACCAAGTCGACTAAAGATACATCAATCAAACATGAACGAAATGAATGAGTTGAAAAATTATTAGGGCCGAACTTCAAGATGAAGCTACCTATGTATCCTAAAGATAAGAATCATGCCATATGTAGTTCTGGCTAAGGTTCACTTGGGTATTGACACTCTCATTTTGTACTCTAACTTTTGACAAAGTCGCCCTTTCGAGTTTTCAACCTTGCGAGCTTTTCATTTTTTATTTTTTATTTTTTATTTATTTTTCTATTTTTTTCATTTTTTAAAATTTTTTTTATTTTTACTTTCTAGTTTTTTTGTTTTTCTGCTCTAACTTTTTGCCTGGGTTTCCCTTCCGGATTTTCAACCCAGCGAGCCTCTCAAGGATGGTACTTTCAGTTTAGCTTGTCCATGTTGATTAGTTGTGAAATCTCTAGGCCATCTAAATCTAAAAGAACAACTGCTACACTTAACCAGTAGATATGATGATGTAGGGACTAGGTTAATTGGGTCTGAATTTGCCCCTAGTGTAGTGGATAGGAACTCAAGTGTCATTCTTCTCTCAAATTATGGGTTTTGACTTTTTGGGCGGTCTTTATTAGGAAACGATCCAATTTTACATCTTTGATCACATCCAATCTTATTGTCCCTAGTTCAAGGGCTTCTTCCAATATAAAGCACATCCGACCTTATTGCCCTAGGTCAAGTGCTGTTTCCAATCTGAATCACATCTGACCTCATTGCCCCTAGTTCAAGGGCTGTTACCAATTTGAATCATATCATTGCCCCTAGTTCAAGGGTTATTTCCAATCTGAAGCATGTCATTGCCCCTAGTTCAAGGGCTGCCTCCATTTTGGCTATGCAAGCCTCACGCTTTGTAGGAATCAGGCCATACGTAGTTCCCGCTAAGGTTCACTCGAGTATTAACACTTTCCTTTTATGCTCTAACTTTTGCCAAAGCTGCCATTTCGGGTTTTCAACCTTGCGAGCTTTTGATTTTTTTTCCTCTTTTATTTTTATTTTTATTTGTATTTTTATTTTTTTTGTTTTTCTGCTCTAACTTTTGCTTGAGTCACCCTTCCGGGTTTTCAGCCCAGCAAGCCTTTCAAGGATGGTACTTTCGTTTTACAGCTAAGGAGGTCGGACTTCAAGTCAAGAGGGATCCTATGGTGTATAACCTCAAGATTAATTCCAGGCATGTCTTCCTAGGACCACGCAAAAATATTTTTTGAAATCTTTTCACAAAGTGACTAATCGCTCGTGCTCTTATGAAGAAAAGATAGAACCAATTTAGACCAAGCCAGGATCCTTCTCAGTACCCACATTAACAACAATGATTTTATTCATCAAGGGCTTAGCACACCCCTCTCTTCCTCTCAGTCGATCAAAATTTGCAAATCCCGAAGAATTTTTTCCTCTTCGTTTTTATCAGAGTTTTGGAAAATTTTTTGAAAAACTTTGGTCAATGCGATGATTTAAAGGCACAAAGAAGTAGGCAAACTCTATGGTACTTTTATTGAAAAGAAACAACGACTTAACGATGTCAACAGACTCAAAATAAAATGACAAAGAAGACCTAGACAGGACAGAAATGTCTAGGTTAGCACTCTTGAAATCAATAGATTCTGACTCACTAGAATGACTCGAGCTTGATCCCAACTCTACAAACTTGGTGGAATCAAACTTAGACTCAATACTCAATTCCGAACTCAGAATACAACCATTCTCAAACTACCAGCCAAAGTGTGGGCCATCCATAATATTCAAAATAAAGCACATGGAATCAACAGGTGGTCACTCCCCAATTACAGAAACAAAACAGAACTTCCAATTAGAACTATGGCAGCACTTTGGCCCAATTCGCACAACTGACCACTGTATACATCACCGAAAAAATAAACTCAATCTCACAAACTGAAATGCCTGAACTACTCATTCACATTTGAGAACCCCTGTATAGATCCAATACATTACACATAACACATAGCTGGAAAGAGAACAAACACCCGTATGGAGGGTAGGGTTATCCTGTCCTATGCTTTTGAAATGATCTAGGGTTCACTATTCAAACAAGCGGTATCGTACATCCTAGAAATGGGAGAGCATCTTGTCCTAATTTTGAAAGGAACTATAGCTCACTATATGTACAAGGTTAGCTCTACTCTAGGGGTTGAAGTTAAGGTGACGTTACCAAAGAGTCTTTTGGGTCATAACCAATGAAGATCTTAGGAAATTAGAAGAGTCGATATAGCCTATCTTCAAAGTCTGAGAACCTTTAGATCTCAAAAGATTATAACAAAACGCCTTCAAAGTAACGTAGAGATAGGTGCAGTGTCACAAAAAAGTGTATCTGTGCTCCCACCAATATCTGGGCAACACAGGGACTTTAAGTGCACCAATGCATGCGATGAAATAACATATAAGTGAAAATAAAAGTCATATCATGGAGTTCGAGTTAAGGTTTCATAAAATCCCCAGCAGAGTCGCCAGAAACTGTAACATGCCCAGGGGGTACCCACGCACATTAAACAGTTCGGACTCCTGAGATCTCTTTGATCTAGTCTCACAAGTGCAATGTGAAATATAGATGAGAGTCTAGATTTGGCAACTTTTATTGAAAATCCCTTTTATTGCAATTTTTTCAAAAATGGATTGTGTCATCAAATCTGAGAGTCGCCACCTAATATTTATTTTGGAAAAATTAGGAAACCCATGACTCATGCCCAGGCCACTGTTCATCGTAACCAAGGATGCTTGGCTCGAAACCTTAGGTATGAAGGGAGAAGGTCATTAATTGAGCACCCCCGATCATCCGATCAAAAGATCGGCCTTTACTAACCATGACATGAATTTTATTTTCTTTATATGTTCATGTTTTGAACAGGGACTTTAAGTGCACCAATGCATGCGATGAAATAACATATAAGTGAAAATAAAAGTCATATCATGGAGTTCGAGTTAAGGTTTCATAAAATCCCCAGCAGAGTCGCCAGAAACTGTAACATGCCCAGGGGGTACCTGAGCACATTAAACAGTTCGGACTCCTGAGATCTCTTTGATCTAGTCTCACTAGTGCAATGTGAAATATAGATGAGAGTCCAGATTTGGCAACTTTTATTGAAAATCCCTTTTATTGCAATTTTGTCAAAAATGGACTGCATCATCAGATCTCAGAGTCGCCACCTAATATTTATTTTGGAAAAATTAGAAAACCCATGACTTATGCCCAGGCCACTGTTCGTCGTAACCAAGGATGCTTGGCTCGAAACCTTAGGTATGAAGGGAGAAGGTCATTAATTGAGCACCCCCGATCATCCGATCAAAAGATCGGCCTTTACTAACCATGACATGAATTTTATTTTCTTTATATGTTCATGTTCTGATTATTTAATAAATCCTAAAATTTACTATGTGAAACATACAAGTATAGACTATGTTATCCACTTTGGAACACCTTGATTTCATGTAGTTTTGAAAGAGTTTTAAAGATGTATAACCCAAATAAATTGAGCTTACAAACATGAAAATCAACATCATTCCAAATTAAGCGACACAACCTCCATCCACTCGCATTCAAAGAGTTATATCACATAAACAAATAGCCTCATGGTAGAATGCTAAACATAGTAAGAAAAACACACACAAACAGGATGCTAAAGCATAAAAACTTACATGTTTGACGATCCACAAACAAGCTACAAAACAAAGTTAGTAAAATATGCATGATCTTATATACAAAATCCTAATGCAATTCACTCATGAGATGCAACTAAAGATTCGGCTTCTAAAATATGATATGTGAATCATCTCAAGAACATGAGGTAGCGCACATAATCACATAGGAATTGATTAAATCCACAAATGCAAACTTAGCCGAATCAAGATGCATGAAACATGGATGCAAAGCATAACTATGATGAAAAATAAATATGATGTTTATGTAAAAATAAAGAAGGCAAGTAAAAGAACGGGATAGAAAGAAGAGGGGCGGGGAATTATTACAACATTTAAAGAATAATTACAAACCAAATTAGAGAGGGATGAGGAGAATATTACAACAAAATAAAAACCTCACAATACACTCAAAATAAAATAAATAAATAAAATAAAAGCTTCATGTTCTTTAGAACCGCCGGCGGAAATTGGTCAATATTGGGAGATTACGCCATCTTGTTCGGAAGAAGCTAACCGACCGGCCAAATAGGCCGGCCGGCGAACTAGGCCAAGCAAAACCTGTCTTGTTGCAAAACCAAGAAAAGGAACAAACAAAAAAAAAATATGTAGGTGGCTCAACTAACCACTACCGGTTAGATTAAAAAAGAAAAGAAAAATAAAAAAAAAGGTGCAAACTCACAATATAAACCTAAAGCAATAAAACAAATATAAGATAGAACATGCAAAATTACAACAGAACTAATATGAGACTAATACACAAAAAAAATAAAATAAATATGAGGTAAAACATGCAAGATTACAACAAAACTAATATGAAATTAAAGCATGCGAATAAAAATAAATAAATAATTATGAGCTAAACAAACCACTAGGATTATAACAACACACTATGAAATATAAAGTAAGAAAATAAATATGAGATAAACAAACTACTTGGATTATAACAAAACACAATGAAATAAGAAGCAAGAATATAAATATAAGATATAAAATATAAGAAAATGAAAGATTAAAAATTCACCTTCCAAAGAAAGATTGAACTTCTTGATTTCCAAACTTCCTCTTGATCACCCTCAAGTGTAGGAAGTGTGTTCTCAAATCCTCAATTCGAAATTATGGAGTTTATGGAGTTTGTGGTATGGAAAGTGGCTAACTCTCAAGTTTTTCTCACTTTCAATCACTAAACATTCTTCCTTATGATCGAGGCGATTGATCTTTGGCTATATCAGAATTTTTGGAGTGATTTTGGTGTATGGAAATGAGGAATTTCAGTAGCTATGGAAGGTATGGGGTGTATATGGAAGATAGAAATATTTTTGGCTAAACAACTCAAATTTTCTCTCTTTTTTCACTCTTTTCTCACTCCTTTCTCTTCAATTTCGTGGTCCTCCTCCTCTCTTACAATATGATCATTCTATATAGGCAATGAGGGAGAGTAAAGGTCAAAATGGACTAATAAAATATATTTTAGTAGGCCAAATATGCAACATAATTTGACCAAAGCGGGTCTAAAGGCACAGAAAACAAAAAGACGCACGATGGGAGTGTAGTGAATTTTTTTTCAAAGGAGGAATAATACCCTTATATAATATAATATTATATATATACAAAAGTATGGTGTGTGGGTGAAACCAGGGTACTGAATAAATTTAATAAAATATTATATAATAATATAACATAATATATATATATATATATATATGTATAATACATAATAAAGGAAAAGAAAATGAAGAATGGGTCTAAAATAATTTGGCAAAAACAGGTGTAAGGCTGAGATTAAAGTTTACATTCCATCTTTTCACTGAGAATTTTGTGAGATAGCATATTCTTATTTACATAATCGGGTAATCAAAAGAAAGCACCCAAGTCTTAAGACCGGTCAAAATGGGGTGTCTACACCATCTCCTTCACATATCTATATATCGCTTCGGTTGAGAGGGCTAAGAAATTTGTGATGTGAAAAATGGGAGAGTCCACCGAGATGTATGAGCTAAAGTCTGGAATACACTGATTTTTCGTAATAAAATAAGGAAAGCGCACCAGTCCGAATGCCCAGGATTTTCCTGTGTTGCAAAGATCGTGATTAAAATTTTCTAGTTTGAAAATTCCACCAAGTTAATAGCCCCACATTTCTTATGTCACCCCTTATATAACCCCTTCGCTTCCTACTACCGCTTCACTTCCCCTACTAGTGGCCCAGATTGTCCCACATATATAGCCTTGATCCCTCCTTCATTGCACTTATTCTCTTTCTTCTTCCCCGTCCATTTCACTTCACATCATCACGTGCTTTCCTGTCTCTCGAGTCACGTGTACCATAAATGCCTTCAATAGTCGATCCCTTCAGATGTTGACCACCACGTAGGTCGGTCACCTCCCTCAACGGCCGATCCTTTTAGAGGTCGACTACCACGTCGGTCGGCCACCACGTAGATCAGTCACCTCCCTCTACGGTTAGTCCCTTCAGTGATCGATTACCACATCGGTCGGCCACCTTCTTCAGAGGTTGACCACCACGCCGGTCGGCCACCATGTAGGTTGGTCACCTCCCTCCACGATCAGTCTCTTCAGTGATCTATCCTTTCAGAGGTCGACCACCATGTAGGTCGGTCACCTCCCTCAATGGTCGGTCCCTTCAGCAGTCGACCACCACGTCAGTCGATCCCTTCAAAGGTCGACCACTACGTCGGTCGACCACCACGCAGGTCGGTCACCTCCCTCAATGGCCGATTCCTTCAGAGGTCGACTACCACGTTGGTCGACCACCACGTAGGTTAGTCACCTCTTTCCACAGTCGGTCCTTTCAATAGTCGACCACGACGTTGGTTGGCCATTCATCTTCCTCAAAAGTCGACCACCACGTCGGTTGGCCACCTTCCTCAGAGGTCGACTACCACGTCGGTCGGCCACCACGTAGGTTAGTCATCTCCCTCTATGGTCGGTCTCTTCCGCGATCAACCACTACGTCGATCGGCCACTTTCTTTAGTGGTTGGCCACCACGCAGGTCGATCGACCACCACACTAGTTGGACCCCCTCCTCGACAGTCGGTCACACCCTTGGTTGCCCACTAAATCGAGACCACTCCCAGTCGCCCACTATCCCTCCCTTTTTCCTCCATTTGGTCCTCTCTTTGGCGTCTTGGGGGACTATTCTCTTATTTTTTATTCCCTTCGTTGGACTAAAGTTGCACTTGGGAATATGGGACTACTGATACTAATGGGCACCCAAGAGGGCCCAACTCACAGCCCAGGTGTTAAAGCCCAATAACTTTAAGAAGCCAATGCTGGCCCAAGACCAATAGCATTCAAACACTTATCGGGCAAGGAATTAGCCATATGAGCAGACAAAGATCATGCATAATTAATAAGGCCACTATAGCATTAAATGCAGCATAACCTCTCATGCTGGAGTATGCAGAATCACCATAAACGATGTTAACTAGGCCATAGACTTTCGGCCAACAAGACAGCCTGGAATGGACAAGGAAATGATAAGCAAAGGATATAAGGAAGCCTTCAAGATACGTTAGAGGTTAAGTTTTTTATTCTCTTCTTCTTCTTCTTCTTCTTCTTCTTCTTCTTCTTCTCTCTCACTCTCTCTCTCTCTCTCTCTCTCTCTCTCTCTCTCTTTTTCAAACCAATTACTACTTGCCTCGATCTAACTTGATCATCGGAACTTGATCATCGAAGTGTCCGTTGGGGGACTACCTCCCCTTTTGGACCTTCTTGTAGGCACACATCGAGAATTCAATAACTAGCAGACTCATAGAAGACGCAGGCCGGTCCGACCCATCCACCATTGATATCACAGCATTATCATCATTATCAATATATATATATATATAAGAAAAAAAAGAGAAAAGAAGAAGAAGAAGGAAAAAAAAAAATTCAACCACCGAGTCGGTCGAAAACCGGGATCGGTTCATCGATTTTCTTGGTTCTCGCAAACAATGCTGGTTTTTGGCCTATGCCAATTTCTGTGGATCATTCGGACCGGAACTAGGTTCGGTCACCGATCTACTAGTTGAACAGACCAATCCGGTCCAGTCTGGTTCTTAAAACATTGTTACCCACTACTCAAATCGGAGATCCCCAATGGAGACGGAAGTTAGGACAACATTGGTAGGTGGTGGAAGTGGAACTTGGGTCTTTGAATTTGAAGAACTTGTGTGTGTGTGTGTGTGTGTGAAAAACACATCGACACAGTGATATCAATCTAGCATCCAACTTTAAGCTTAGAAACATAACAAATTGTATGGACAATGAAAACAACAAAAGGTAAGACTATGGTCTAATGCCTTCCGGTAGTTGGAATTTCGATAGTTGAAAGTTTACAACAATGATACAGACCCCATAATTTTCCACCCCCACTACCCCCACAAACACGTGGGGGATAGTGATTGAAGCAACAACAAAAAAAAAAAAAAAAAAAAAATTTGGCCAATCAATACCCAATGAGGATGCTGGAGGTCTCCCCAGTGGGGGTCTCCCCTATTTTCCTTATTAATGGTGACTAATTTGGGTGTGCCCAAAGTCTTCTCAGTTTTCTTTTTGTTCTAAATGGTATTTTTGACCAGTTGTGTTATTCTCACAAAAAAATCCAATCATTAAATCTTGGGGATGTCTTGTTTGGTGTTCAAAAATAGTATAGCTGGTTTGGGTTTTGATTTTTAAGCCTATTTTAAAAAGACAATTAAAAGTTAATTTTTTAATTTTCTTGATTTATAAAAAAAATGTATAAAAAATATGAGACATGTGACTCAAAATGAGTTAAAAGCTAACTTTTGACTTTTTAACTCTTCAGAACCCTAATTTTAGTTTTTGGGTTTTAGACCGTTTGAGTTTGGGTTTTAGGTATGGATTTTGAATTAAATTTTATATAATAACTTCTTTATGTCACGTGATAATTAATATGACACTTTTGTTAAAAAGTTAGATGGTTGTTATTAGTGTTTAGAGTAAATTGAGAAGAATTATAAACATTAAGAATCAAAGTAGGAAAAAAAAAATACTTTCAAAATTAGAGTGAAAAAATAATAATACTTAAAAGGAGCTAATTCACCCTTGTTTTTTTTTTACAATAATTTATTCTTAAAATACAAGTGTTATCATCAACAAGGTGGGTATAATTAAAATTTCAATATATGTAAATAGAATTTCTAAAATACCCCATTGGATATTATAGTTCAAATTACAAAATTAGCCCCACCCAACTTGCATTGCACTCAACCTTTCTTAAAGTCATACTAAAATAATGCTCGTACCAGACTGTGGGGGCAAAACTGACACACACCAATTTATTACTGCCACGTCAACATAAAATTCTCACATCACCGTTCATTTCAGGAGATATGACGTCATCACCATCACTAAAGTCTACGCTCAGGCTAGTAACCACGCCGTTCAAAGCAGACAACCAAAACCTCCTTGACCGTACACCTAACCCCAAACAGTCCCCACCACTCGAATCCAACGGCACTCGAAGGGCCCTTGCTAAATCCCCGGCCCCATCAGACAACATCATCACGTTCTCACCAACGGCCAGATCTTCACCCCAGGCTTTCATGACGAACACGTTGTTGACCGCGACGCACGCGATCAAATCCGCCAGCTTCGACTTTGCCGAGTCGACTACGCTTTTGACGAACCGCGCGCAGATCGGCGAGAACGCGGCCGAGACTCCGACGAGAAGGAGCCTCTTCGATTTGGAAAGGATGGAGAGATTCGTGGTTTGAAGCTTGTGGTTTCGATCCAAGAAAGAGAAGGTTAGATTTGGGAGGAGAGAAGTGGGAGGAGGGAGGTGGTGATGGTTGATTTTGCGGCGGCGGCGATGGGCTGCGGAGAGTGGTGGAGGGGGGCCGGGGGGCCCGTAGAGGTGAAGGAGGGAGGATTTGTGGGAGGAAGGAAGGGAGGAGTGGGGGTTCCATGAAATGGAGATGGGTTTGGGTGAGATTGGATGAGCGAAGGCCGTCTGATTCGATGAATAATTGGTTGATGAAGGTGATGATGAAGACGATGTTATTGGGACCGTTGCGAATGTGGCTGCGATGTTGTTCACCGAAGAAGCCATTGGAGAGAGAGAGAGAGAGAGAGAGAAGGGTTTGGTAGGGTTTTCAATACAGCGATTGGTTTCTGTAGGACCATTTGTGCTACAAAGATGTGGCCCCTCGTTATTGACGATCACGACCATACAGAAATAAATAAAAATTACAAATAAATCGTAATTCTATATCATATTTATAAATTTATGAAAAAAATTATAATTTTGATTATTAAAATTGATATAAAAAAAATCACTAATTTGTAAATTTTTTTGAGAACTTATGAGTACAATTTTTCAATATATATGTGGAGATATATTTTCTGAGTACCAACACGTGGCAAGGTGACGCCGACGTGTCAGCCGAGGTGCCACGTGTCTTGGTTGTTGTGCCGAGGTTGCCTCCAAAGATATCGGAATCCGAGATAAGCGGATAAGGGACAAGAGTCCTAGAATGAAAAGGGAACTCAACTTGGATATGGACAAGAGTCCTAGATTGGGAGAAGACTTCAGTTTGGGTAAAGATAAGACTCTTAGAGAGTTTATCCTAATCCCACTAGGAGTCCCAGTTAGCAGTAATCCTAAATCCATTAGGGCCAGAATCCTTTTGGGACTAGGATTGTATTGGCTATAAAAGAGAGGCACCCCATGGGTCTAAGGTATGTTTTTATACTCAAGCTTGTGAGTTGAATACTTGATTTATCTTTGAAAGATATACTGACTTGATCGTCGGAGTGCCCTTGGGTGGTCGAAACCACAGCGGGATTCTTATATTTCTGTTGCAAGTCAGTCAGGTGCCATCTATTCTGCCAGTGCTCTTCAGCTGGTTACTAAGCAGGCAGTGTGGTCGGAAAATTACCCACACAATTTGGCGCCGTCTGTGGGAAAGAAAGAAGAATCGATGGCCAATGACGGACAAAAGGATCAAATTAGAGACAACGCTCCTGCTAAGAGTGGGAGACCTATCGATCTCGACGTTGAAGGGGACGACCACAACACAGAAACTTGTGACCAGAGTCACGGAGTGAAAGACGCAGGCCAGGAAGGTGACGCACCAAAGACAACAAATCGAAGCGGATACTACAACGAAGATGACCTCCAGGTATGGAAGGATAGATACCTGCGGAGGAACGAAGACCCTTCTAGAAGGGATACAAAGAGAGGGGGCATGAGCGCTCCCAAGAAAATAACATTCAAAGAGCTCAACCTGAATGAGCAGATCCAAGATTCCAGAAGACATGATCTCGGCCTAGATGAGTAGGCCCAAGAAAAAAAGAGCTCAACCTGAATGAGCAGATCCAAGATTCCAGAAGACAAGAGCTCGGCACTTAAACTCGAGAAGAGAAGAGCTCAGTGAGCAAATCTCAGATCCCAGAAGATAAAAAAGAAACACACAAGATCGGACTGAAGTTAGCCAAGATGAAGACCTATTGTAAAGACCACAAAGGAGTATGTGGAAGCTATACACGGGGCAGATCCCTTGCCTATAGAACCATATCAAAGGGATTCTGGTGACCCTACGGACAAAAGAATGCAGAGGCTTATAAAAAACATGAGAAAAGAAACGGCTTACCAAAGCGAGGTCGAGGTAACAATGGATCCAGCAAGCAAGAGGCAAAGAGAAGAAGAATATGTTTAACACTTGTTGAAATTTGTAGCAATTTACAAGTTGAAATTAAACCGAAATTATTCCTTATCTTCAATTGTTGAAATTTGTAGCAATTTACAAGTCGAAATTAAGCCGAGATGATTCCTTATCGTCACTTGTTGAAATTTGTAGCAATTTACAAGTTGGAGTTAAGCTGATTCCTTATCTTCACTTGTTGAAATTTGTAGCAATTTACAAGATGACGTTAAGCCGACATATGATCATCCGTTGAAATTTGCAGCAATTTACAGGTTGAAGTAAAAGCTAAGTATATTGTTTAAACACTTGTTGAAATTTGTAGCAATTTACAAGTAGATCATTATTTAACACTTGTTATAGCTTAAGGAAAGTTTATAGGTTGAAATTAAAACAGTATGTGTTGGAATTTATGCAAAGTTTACAGGACAAGTTATTGCCGAGGTAAATCACCAGTTTGTATGCCCGAGGTATGTCACCCCGAGAAGGTTGCACAAAGAAGGAAGAGCATACTAAAGACACGCAAAATATTTTAAGTATAGAATCATGCAAAGGCAGTCAAGAAAATACAAAGGCACAAGCATTCAGAGAAGGAAAGTTGCATTAGACATTCAAGAACAAGGAGGCACATCGGCCATATGCAGAGCTTACATTGTCTAAAAAAACAAAAAGGTACAAGAGTACAAGCGACAAAAAAGGAAAAACTTCAAAAGCCGAGATGATGTTTAACCGAAGTTAAACTGAGATGATGCTTAACCGAAGTTAAACTGAGATAATGCTTAACCGAAGTTAAGCCGAGATTATGTTTAACCAAAAGTTAAACGGAGATGATGCTTAAACCGAAGTTAAGCCGAGATGATGTTTAAACCGAAGTTAAAACGAAATGATGTTTAACACTTGTTGAAATTCTGAGAGTGCACAAAGTTAAATGTCGGCAAAAGATTCGCCGGAGTCAAACGTCATTTTGATTAGAACAGAACCACTAAGTGCACGCCAGAAGTGGTGACCAGAATTGTGAAAGGAATAAATGTTTCAAGAAACAGCGATGATAGTTTGCAAAGGCCAAGAAAAAGAGGGTCTAAAGGGGGTGCATTAAATACCAGAAATTTTAATACATTGGTGAAAGCAGAACACATCAGGTCTGTGACTACGGCACGAAGCCAACTTCCCTAATGTGATCCTAAGTACAACTTATGTTCACATTAGGGGGCAGGGAGAAGGTGCAGGAGGAAGGAATGATAATTAAGGAGCAAGGAATGTTAACACTTGTTGAAATTTTTTAGCAAATTACAAGATGACTTAATCGAAGATTATGAAGTCTACCACTTGTTGAAATTTGTAGCAATTTACAAGTTTGGTATAGCCAAGATAACACTAAAAGACGTTTCCGAGATATGATCATCCGAGATGACCAACTAGCTTGTTAAGAGCTGAGAAGGTTGGCAAGTACAAAAATGAATACCTTAAAGAACTAGGGACTGAAAGCAATAACGTCAGACTGATCTGCTTCGACGGGCGACGATGGTTCAGCCTCGGCAGTCAGTTGGAGGAGCTTCTCTACCGTTACCTCGGCATCAATTTCAAGAAAGAAGCAAACTACTCGGCATCAGCGGCAGGTTGTGTCTCACCCCCAGAAGACAGTTGGAAAGAACTTCTCAGCAGCCTTCTCAGCCACGAGCTCAGCATCAATCTCCTGAAGAGTTTGATCAAAACTTTTCTCGGCGATTGGCACCTCGACGTTTTGAAAGCAAGGATTGAAAGCAAAACTCTGGGAAAAGACACAGAAAACAGAAACAAGAATGTAATTCGTAAATCAAAAATGGTGATGAAGCTATCAGGAAATCAAGACAAGAAGATTGTACAGGTGTGTCAAGCTAAGAACAGTGGCAGAAATCAACAGATATGTGAACAGTGTATATTCAAGAAGATGATTTGGAAACAACATGTAAAACAACAATGGTGGTTAACAATGAAGCAGAGCTTCTTGGAAAGCAACAAGAAGTAAAACCAGGAGGAAAAGTGGCTTACCAGAAAGAGGGAAGCCGGAATGAGAATTGCCGAAGTCTGACGACGGATGTGAAAATGACAGAATAATGTAAGCTTCACCGGAGGAGAGGAACGAAAACAATTGTAGAGCTTGAAAGCTTGGAACAATGACAGATTTAAGCAAAAGAGCTAGAAAGGAAAAAAAAGCCAGAGGATTAAATGAAAAAAGAGAAAAATAGTCAAGAAGACGACAAAGTTCAAGAATAAAGCCAAGTGCACAGGCACTAAGTAAGTATGTGAAGAACAAGAAAGTAATGACCCAGACATGATGCTAGCAACAGAAAGCGGATATAACAAGGACAGTGCCAGGCATTTAAACAATTCAAAACTTGAAAACAGACGAAAATAGAAGGCAACTGATGGCAAGTAAACAGATTCAGAAGAGTTATGAAAGATTGAGCTTAATAGCAAGTAAAGAATTTTTTGAACCTACAAAGTGAAATGAACACCGATATGAAAATCGCCGGAGTCAAATAGATGACTGGAAATAATTTAAATAAGTGTGTTTTTGACCTTTTAAAAAAATAAATGTAAAAAAAAAAAGTGATATGAGCCAAATAAATACTTTTGTTATGAAGAATGTCAAATAAATCCTAATTATATGATTTTATTATATTATATTTATATTCAAAAAAAATAATCTACCGCAGGATTCTTATATTTCTGTTGCAGGTCCGTCAGGTGCCATCTATTCTGCCAGTGCTCTCCAGTTGGTTACTAAGCGGGCAGTGTGGTCGGAATATTTTCTGAATACCAACACGTGGCAAGGTGACGCCGACGTGTTAGCCGAGGTGCCACGTGTCCTGGTCGTGATGCCGAGGTGATCTCGGTAAGGCCGAGGTTATCTCCGAAGATATCGGAAACCGAGATAAGCGGATAAGGGACAAGAGTCCTAGAATGAAGAGGGAACTCAACTTGGATATGGACAAGAGTCCTAGATTGGGAGAAGACTTCAGTTTGGATAAAAATAAGACTCTTAGAGAGTTTATCCTAATCCCACTAGGAGTCCCAGATTAGCAGTAATCCTAAGTCCATTAGGGTCAGACTCCTTTTGGGACTAGGATTGTATTGGCTATAAAAGAGAGGCACCCACATGCGTCTAAGGTATGTTTTTATACTCAAGCTTGTGAGTTGAATACTTGATTTATCTTTGGAAGACATACTGACTTGATCGTCGGAGTGTCCCCGGGTGGTCGAAACCACCGCGGGATTCTTATATTTCTGTTGCAGGTCAATCAAGTGCCATCTATTCTGCCAGTGCTCTCCAGCTGGTTACTAAGCGGACAGTGTGGTCGGAAAATTACCCACACAATATATATAACTAAATAATAAAATATCATAATTTCATACTTTCTAAGTAATAACTAAAAAAAATATAAATAAATACTATGTAAGATATAATCAAATATTTTATAAGTCATAACTAAATAAAATATTTTCATAAGTAAAGAAAAAAATTGATTATATGTAAAGAAGAAAATATTTCATACGACGAATTGTATTTTGAACATGCGATTTCAAGTTCAAATTGTATATGAAAATGTAATTTTAATAGTGGGTTAATTTTTCAAATAATTTGAAAAGTAGATTAATTCTTTAAATTTTTTTTTTTAGAATATTGAATAATACAACTCCATATTCAATAATACAACTCTCGGGGACAATAATATAAACATACAAAATAGAAGATTTTTTATTAGAGTAGAACTTTTATAAAGTCATATCATTTTCACAATAATTCTCAATTTAAATCCTAAACATACACAATTTATGAAAAAATCCTAACCATACACCATTTTTACTCTTTTTCCCCCCTTTTTTTTTTTCTCTAAAAAAGAGTTTTAATTATGCTGAGATTATAGATTTTTGAGATATTTATCAATAAATTTGTTGATAAATATCAATATGTTATTTTTTATACGTACACTAATATCATGGTACAAAGTCCAAAACGTAATGGTAATAATCAATTTTTTTTTTTTAAACATCACCGGGCTCATTGTTTTGTTCCATAATTTTATAAGGTACAATTTGAGTTATGCAAAATACGGTATAAATTGCATCAATGTGTATCAATTCATATCGTTCTATCTGTTAACTGTGGTTTAAATTTTAAAATTTATAATCCGCCTTCGAAATTACTATGCTCCGCTATAGTTAATACATATATATTTTTTAATTTATAATTAAATATCAAAATAAAAATAAATGCGAGAGGGATTTAATATATGAAATGTATTACAAATTATTAGTTATATATATGTAAAATTAGTTTTTGTTATATATATGAAAAATATTATTTAAGTTATATATATTATGCAAAAACTTGATAATTTGTTAGAATATTCTTTAATCCATCAATTCACCTAAAACTGCTCAAACCGCAATTTACCAATCCGTTGATACGTTAATTTGCCATTTGATTTATAATTTTACTCTCAAACTATCCGAACCGCAACGCGCACACTGCTATGTACAAACTTCTCACCTTATGTTTAATGGAACTTTCGTAGGTAATTTTATTTTTTTTCAAGAAATTCTGAGATTTTAAAATTAATAATTAATAATTTAAATAAAAATAATTAAACACTTTGAAAATAGAGGCACTATTTGGCATCTCCTATATTACCACGCTTTTTTATCTTTTTATTTTTTTAAATCACATTGTCTCTCTATTTTTTTGTATATATTTTCATAAAAAGTCAAAAAATATACTTATTTAGATCATTCTAAACACTCTCCAAGTTCTATGGATTGAACTTATTTTTTCACAAATTATGTGTAAATTTATATATATATATATATTCACCCTTCGTTTTGATAATAAAATATTTTAAAATTTTTTAAATGTATGTTTTGTGTTTGTGGAATGATCATTTGACATTATTAATGATACTGATAAATTTATCAAAATGATAAATAATTAGAATATTTTAAGTTTTGTTTATGAGCTTTCATTTATTTTCAATTTACTCATATTAGTTTGTATTGAAATATGACGTAATTAAATTGTAATTATTTACAGATATTTTATAATGAAAAATTTATCATTAAAAATTAAAATAAGACTTATTAATAAATCGGCAATGATTGGTGGCCACAAATTCTGTGGCTCAAATGGCCCAAAAATGCCAAAATGATGTCATTTTGGGTACAAAACAACTCCGAAAATGTCAAAACGACGTCGTTTTGATATTTTCGAGCCATTTGAACCACAGAATTTGTGGCTACCAAACATTTTCCTTAATAAATAAACTGGGTCCATAAAACCATAACTATCCTTCAAAATATGCAATTGCAGTAATTCATTTTCAAAGAAGGACCACAATCTAAATCCAAATAAATATAGGTATTTCTATTTATATAGTATCACTCTATTTATTGCAAATGATGTTCAGAATAGCGCTATGTTTACTTTCAAATTCTAGCTACCACCAAATAAATTACACACATTATACAAAATTTGTGGTGTTTTTCATCTTTAAAAAATCATGCCGTATATTCTGGGGTGATTTGGGAAGCTGATTAAAAATTAATTTTTTTGTTTTTTTGACTTTTTTATCTTTTTGTATGTAAAAAATGTGAGAGATGATAGGATATAAAATAGATTAAAAACTAAAAACAAACTTTTAACTAACTTCCAAAAGCCTCCTCTATGTTGGCCTTCTTTATGAATTTTGAATTTTAAAACTTGTTCTTTTTTTATGTTATGAAATTTGAAACTTGATAACTTTTACAGAAGAAAAAACCACATCATGAAAACGCAACAAATAAAAGCTCAAACACGAAAAACAAGTAAAAAATAATCCTGCAGTTCCTCGCTTAATGTATGGAGTTCGAGATAATTGAAAGGATTAAAGCACAAAAATTCCTATAAATTCTAAGAAAAAAACTCAACCGACCATGAAATTAACAAAAGATACAGATTGAGCAATAAGTATTATACAATCTTCGTTTGGTATAGTTTATTGAAATTGTTTATAATTTATATTATTTTAAAAATTTTGTAAAAATAATAGATGCAATTTCTATTTACAGTTTATGAGTTAAAAATAACTTAAATAAACTACAAAATAAAATAATGAAAAAATTACCAAAAAACTAAAAGATAAATGTTTTTAATTATTTATCAATTTTTTACTTATAAGATCTTCCTCTTTCTAGTCTTATTTCATCTCATTTCTCTAATACACATCTCATTACATAAAAGACTATTCACTTTGCCTCTGTTTGGGAAGTGGGTTGACTTTTTGACTTTTTGGTTTTTTTGACTATATGAGTCTAGGCTCAAAAGCTTAGTTTGGGAAGGGCTTTTGGCTTTTTTGATTTTTTTATGAGAGAAGAGTGTAATGATTATGGGGTTAGATGAGATGTTTTGTCTGTCGTGACTCTTGAGCCTATTCTGTCTTTTATGACTCATTGAGCCAAAAAAGCCCAATAAACCCTTGCCAAACCAACCCAAAATCAACTTAGAAACTTAGAACATAATAAAAAAATGTACATGTTAAGATAAGGCATTTTTTTTATTTTTTAAAATATATATAATAAAAAAAAAGAAAAATAATGTTATTCAAATAAATCCATAAACTTACTCTTTTTTCATGTTTGCAGAAGAGACTGATAATAAGACTAGTTTTGAGTGAAAATAATTAAAAATTTTACACAACAGAATATAATTTAAAAACTTTCAAGGTGTTTATGATGATTCTTGCTGTTGTAGTTGTTGTCGTTGAGGTTGCTTCTTGGTGAAATTCTTATTATTATGCATCCAAACCTTGAGAACCTGTCTCTTCACACCCACCTCCCGACAAAACCTCTGCAACTCTTCATCATCTTCCTTGGGAATCCTCCACCCCACCCTCTCCGCAAACTCCATCATCCCCTTCTTCTGCTCCTCCGTGAATTTTGTCCTAAACCTCTTCTTCGACAACACAAATGGCCGCAGAGGGGGAGGTGCCGGTGGCGGCGCCGCTGCATTTGAATTGAAGCCATTGAAATCGAGATCTTCACTTGAAGAATCGGTACCTCCAAAGCTCAGTTTCACAGGTGGAACCATCGGAGTCCAGTGATTGATTCTCTGGTTGTGGTGGTGCTTAAGAGATGGAGATTGCAATGGCGGAGGAGGAGCAGGAGAAGGGAGTGGGAGGTGGAGTGGATGTACCATCGTACTCCGTTGAAAATCGGTGTCGCTGCCGTGAACCTCTTTCCGGTGGAAGTTCCGGTGGCAGTTACAGGCGGCGCATTTGAGAGATCCCGGAGTTCCTTCATCGCCGCTCACCATGAACTCTCCGCAACCGTCGAGGACATTGCCGCCGACGCTCGCGGCGTGGTTCTTCAGGCACTCACGATATCGAACGCCGCTTGTAGTCATTGATTCTGGTAATGCGTCCGTTTTCAAGCTCGATCTGCTTGATATCTGGTCAATTCTCTCACCTTGAGCGATCGTTGATTGATTTTGTTGAAGTCGATGAGGAGGAGGAGGAGGAGGAGGATCTAGGGTTTCTGATGATTCTCGGAAGATAGGGTTATAGGCTGAAGAGCCTTGTTGGCCTTTCAATTCCATTTTCTTTGAACAGTAGAATAGTGAATCTCCAAATCTATACTTAAATATTTTTGAAATTTCTCTCAAATCACGGGTTTGTTGTTCGTAGCAAAGATTTTAAAGAAGCAAAGACTTTCAGCATCTAATATTCAGCCTTTTGATGCTAAACCCAGAAACTAAATTCCTAAATTCAACAGTTTATAGTAAAAAATAGAAAGCTAAATCGTATATACATATATATATATATATATATAGAGAGAGAGAGAGAGAGAGAGAATAATCCGTGGAATAAAGAAAGAAAAACAAGTATGAATGTTGGAAGTTTTGAAGATGAGATTGTTGTATGAAATTACATTAAATTTAAAGATTTCTAAATTTGTGACCCCGTATATGTTATATAATCTGCAGCAATTCCAATTATATATATTGTTAGGACCCTTTGTTGTCAAAATCCATGGATCAAAACCAAGGTTGTTACAGGTTTCAGTTTTCAAGGTTTTCATATTTTAGTTTTCCCGCTCAAGCGGGGAAAGTGACGCTCGAGCGTGGATTGGAAGCTCTCAGCATCTCTGCAGTCGCCTGAAAAATACTGGATGGTGTGATTCGACGCTCGAGCGTGGAAACTTCCGCTCGAGCGTGGAGCCTGTATGAAATCGCAGAATTTGAAGTCACCGCTCGAGCGGGAATACCCACGCTCGAGCGGACCGCGCGATCCCAGATTCTATATATTCGCTTGTTGGGTCTGTTTTAGTTTTACTTTTTCTAGATCTTATTCAAGAGTCCTAGGGTTTGTTTAAAGGTTTATTCTGGGTTGTTTTGGGAGTTTTCCTTGATGTTTTGAGAAGAGTTCTTCAATCATGATCTAAGATACATACATCAAGGAGTTGGTTACTTTAAATTCAAGAGAGAATTCTCTTCGGTGGATTCCGAAGATTCAAGCGTATAGTTTCAAAAGGCGTTTGATTTTATACGTAGTCGTTAATTCGACAAGTGAGGTTGTGGAATCAACTTCAGGATTGATCAGTTCCGAGACGAAGTCGTGGAGAAAGAGTTACAGAAGGTTCGAAGACAAATTGACTGAGTTGGGTAATTTGTATGTTATCTTTGTAATCTTTCTTACTTGCAATAGATGTTGCATGAGTTCCATGGCCATTAAAATCTCTCGGTGAGCCAGTGATGTGACGAGTCTTTTTAAGATCAGAGTTTGGTTGGATTGAGAAATCTTGGATGTTGTAGTATCTGGCTCCTATTATCTTCCTGTTACAGACCAAGATCATAAAAAATATCTTACAATTTTTATCAATAGCCGCGTTAGTTTAACTTGAACTTATTATAAGGGTATTCTGATAGAGCAGAATGGCAAAAAAAGATCCATATAACCAGCTTTACTTGATTGGGATACAAGGCTTAATTTGGTTTGGCACTATCACCTGGGAAAAAAAAGGATGTATAATTACCTAGGTGGAGCATAGATGGAGGAAACATAGGAGGAATTTGGAGATCCTACATTGGTTATGGTTCTTTCAACAATTTTGAACCCTTGAAGTCTATTGAGTTTGCCTATGGAAATCGATGGGTAATTAATGTTGGAGATTAGATCCTGGTTAGAGTCTTTTGGACAGCTAAAGTTTGTCTTTGAGATTAATCTTATCATTTTCTGTGAAATTCCATAATAACAGAGAAAATTTAAGTAATCTTTTAAGGTGG